TCTCTTCCGTGTCAATTTCTCTGCCCATACATCGATCAACTCCAAATGTTTCTCAGGCTTTTTAAGACAGCTACGCCTACTCCTTTTTGACTGCTGTTCGTGCCATTGTTGGAAGATTATGTCCTTCTCCAATGTCACACGATTCCTTTGTTTGTTATTTTCTTATATGCAGGATACATCCACACGCCACCTTTTCAGGAAGTCTGCCGGCTCTGTTGTTCAGTGATAGTTCAACATTGATAGTAGCTAATGAAAGCACCCTGAGTTTTTGAATAGCTGCCTTCGATGAAGTAGATTTGTAAATGTCTCCGCCTATAAGACTGTGGCTTACCCTATATTCGCACCCGTCGGGCGTATGTGTACATAGCTTCCGGGGGACGCCTTACCTTTTACTCGAAAATCTGTATTGGTTGAACATATTTTGGATGCGACAAGATGTTTCTAACCGGCTTGTCGCACACACTTAGAAGCTAGCGAAGCAAGTATCATGTATCCGAAAGGAATCGAAATTGCGATTTCACAGAAATGAGATCATAGAAACATCTTAGATCACTAACTACTAGACCTACTTTGCCTGAGTGAGACAACACACTACATCAACTAAATGTCTTCTTGCGAAAAGCTATAAGCATATGTTTCCACAAGAGACACTTCAGACAAGTTTAAAAAATAGAACCGAATCGGTGATAATAAGTGCCATGCTTATAACTACACGGTCAGTTGGAATCCTGCTGTCGGTAGCTCTTCTCTTTAACATTTCATGAATAGGCTTAGCATAGTTGAAATATTGGGAAATTTCTTTCGAATGAACGTATCCCAAATATTCGTTCGTAATAAAAATATTCCAACGATGGAAACTATTCGCCATTTGGAAAACATTCGAATTATGATTATCAAGTAATTAAACATGACCGAGCACTTGGATATTCGAGAAATAGAATATGTGATTTTTTCGAGTATTCAACTATTCAAAAGCAAAATATCGAATTATTCAAAAATTTCAGTCATACGTAAGTA